AGGAAGTAGTGTGTGTGTGTGTGTGTGTGTGTGTGTGTGTGTGTGTGTGTGTGTGTGTGTGTGTGTGTTAGTGGTTCTCCAGACACACAGAACCAAGAGATTTATACATTCATATATTTCATACATTTTATATATAGGAAAGAGTGTCTAAAGGATATATATTAATATATTTATAATATAGAATATATTTATTATAAATAAATAGTAAACATATAAAGAAATTTATCATGAGGATTTGGCTCATGTGCTTCTGGAGGCTGAGAAGTCCCGAGACCTGCAGTCTGCAGGCTGGAGACCCAGGACAGCTGGTGGTTTAAGTTCCAGCGCAAGGGCAGGAGGAGGCTGACATCCCAGCTCAAACTGTCGGGCAGGTGACGTTCTTTCCCTCTCGTCCTTTTGTTCTACTCAGGCCTTCAACAGATTGTCTGAGGCCCCCTCCTGGGCGGGAAGGGCAATCTGCTTTACTCAGTCTGCTGATTCAAACGTGCATCTCATCTAGAATGACGTTTGACCGAATATCTGAGCAACCATAGCCCTGTCAAGTTGACACATAAAATGAACTATCACCAGTGTCTGTGGTGTAGCCTGGGGACCAGTTCATCTGGGGCTGCCGGAGAGGGTGCTGTAGGAGGGCCGGAGTGGGAGCGGGGCAGGTGGAGGCTGGGGAAGGGGGAGGGAGGGGGTCAGACCCGGGAGGTGTTCTTGGAGGAGATCCAGCAAGCTCTTCTGATGGGCTGAATTGGGGGGGTGAGGGGGGCAAAGAGACGAATCAAGATGACCCAAACAGTGAGTTCACTAAGGAAAGATGAAAAGGCAGAACAGTGGGGACTTACAGAATTAGCAAAGGCATAAAAGAAGAAATGTGCATATAAAGTTGGAAGAACTAATAAATATTTAGGTTTCAGCAGAATATGGGGTATTTGGTGAAATGTCGGTGTGTGTTTGGCCCAAGAACAGTGAGTGAAAGGTGGGGCCGTTTACTGAGATGTGGAAGACTCCAGGTGTATGTTCACTAAATGCACGAAGCATCGAGAGTAGGAGGGAAAAAAGTCCGGCAGGGAGATACAAAGGAGAATTTAGGCTTTAGAAGGGAAATCAACAAGACTAAAACAGTTTGTCCAAAGGCAATAAAACAGAGAAGATGCTGGCAGGTGTGCAGGAGGAAGAGCAGAAGGCAGGTGCACGGGGTGGAGAGGGTGAGGCAGGGTGGGCGGTGTCGGGGGCAGGTGCGCAGGGTGGAGAGGGTGAGGCAGGGTGGGTGGTGTTGGGGGAAGCAGTAGCCCAATCAGGCCAGAAAAGAAGAAGGAAAGAGAGGGAGACAGAATCCAAACACCTGCCTCCTGCTCCAGTCCCTGGAATGATCCCTCCCACAGTCACACACAGACACACGTGTACACTTGCACGTACATGTACATATAAATAATCTATAATAGTGCTTTTAAAGCTGGAAGGGAAAAGTTGACATATTTGAATGTGTTAAAATTTTAAAACTACAGTACAATGAAAGGTTCTATAAATAAGTTGTAAAAAGTGAAAGGCTGAAAAATACAATTTACACAGCAGGCAAAGGCTTAATATCCAGAAGAAGTGAAGAGTTCTTACACAGCAATAAGAAGAATGGGCAAAGGGTTTAATCAGATGATTTTCCAATAAAGAAATGCACATGACTAATATGGAAAGACTAAGTGTCTGGCAAAAATTAAAATGATGGAGACTTCAGGGGGCATGGGGCATGTGGAAAGAATTGACCTCACATGCTTGGTTGGAAGTGTAAATTAGTAGCTCTTTTTGGAGGACAACTGAGCTGTGTCTGGCAATATTGCAAATGAGCAGACTCTTAATCCAGCAAAACATGTCTATGCGTTCATCCTGTGAAGACACTGGTGCATGTGTACAAAGAAGCAAGCAGGAGAATGTTTATTGTAGCACATTTAGCTATTTTAACAGCTAAAACTTGCAGACAATCTAAAGGTTCATCAGCAGGAGAATGGGTGAATAAATTATGTGTATCTTTGCCCATTAACGTGGTGTGGCATTTTTTAAAAAGATCTATAAATACACTGATATGAAAAAGATCTTGAAAAGTGTGGGTAGGTAAAAAAGAAATGGCAATATGTGATTCATTTAGCTAATGAAGAGCTGTGTTTGTTTTTGTGTAGATATATTTATAAATACCTAGAAAAAGGTCTGGAAGAATAAATGCCAAATTGCTGGCAGTGGTTATCTCTGAAAGAGGAGTGAGGTTGCAGGGAGTGGGGGCAAAGTGGGATATTTGCGTTCTGCATCGAAGGAACCACCGCCATCACCAAAGTTTATTTTTGACACGACACAATAAACTGGGCTGAAGTGGAGACAGGTCTAGGGACACCCAGGTCTGTGTTATTTCTCTGATCTTCCACCCACGGTTCTTTGACGTTCTGATGAAGGGGATGTGGAGGTGAGGGTCTGTGCCCAGCACACAAGGGAGAAACAGGGCTGTGCCTCGTATGCCCCTGAGCACGACTGAGGAGCTTCCACGTGGTGTTCTGCGCTCAGGTTGTCCCATTCTGGGGTGGCCGGCTCTGCCAGCAGGTCCCACAAAGCTCAGCTGCAGCGGAGAGAGAGCTCAGAGGCTCTCCAGGTCACCTCGATGGACCAGCTGTGTGGAAGTTAATTAGAGGCAGACCATGTCCCCGGGGGCTCCGTTCTCGTGATGCTGGAGTCATTAGCGGTTAGGTTCAGCTAAAGCTTCCTTCTCGTCTTCTGAAAACTTGTTTTGGCAGAAGGACGCCGGCAGACTGAATTGGTGGCCAAGGATAGTACAATTTTAATTCCCAGAGAGTTTGTCAGGGCCATTGGGGTGCAGTGACCTCCGGAGACAGGGGCGGTTTTCATTAAATCAGAGACAGCAGTGTGCTTATTCGCCTGACCACTCACGATGAAATTCCCTTTGCTGTAAACAAGTGTGTCATTCCCGAAGCACAGGGGGTGGTGACTATAGCAACAAATCACCCAAATATTATTTTGTTCTGTGCGCCTTTTGTTAAGCCTCTCTTTCCACAAACAATTTGTGTTAAGCATTTCGATTGTAACTCGCTCTCTTTCTTTCTCTCTTTTTAAACTATATATAGGAACAAAGAAAGAAGTACAAAAAGATCAAGATGCTAATAAACCTGCAGTTTCATCTCCTAAGAGAACAGCGGCTTCAGCCACCAAGCTTCATTCGCCAGGTATTTAAGAAATGTGAGCTGTGTTATTTGAGGAAAAGACTTGAACTGGGAGTTTATTTTGTTCAGATGTCATCAGTGGAGTAACGCCAGCCCATGTGGTGTGTGCGACTATCCCAGGGCTTGATGTACACATACTGATGTGTTCTGACTCCAGCTGAAGTGAACTAGCTGTTGGCATCATTTTGTCTTAAAGAACAAAACGTTATTGTGCTCCGTTTAAGTGGTAGAATCTTCTCCGTGTGGGAGTATCTGCTATTCCAACAGCGTGTAAAATAATTTATAATTGAAAAATAGACTTTGGAGCTATAACCTCAGGAGAGAATATTTTCTAAAAAGAGAAACCATGGATTATCAATACTTGTTATTTTATTTATTTACAATTCAGATATGGATAAGCCACGTAAATGTCACACGAAAGTTGAAAATTATTTATTATGAAAATTCATATCGTAAGGCATCAACCCCTTTGTAGAATGGAATGCAGTATAACCTCAGAACATTTTCTTTAAGCGCAAAAATGGTAGCAACAATAGCAGCTAATGTTTGAGTTCCTCTTGTACGCCGGGTTCTCTCCTAAGCTCTTTAAATGCATTTATTTAACGCCTACAGTAACTGGGAGACAGGTACGATTATTGCCTTTCCCTTTATGTGTGAGGAAATTGAGGTACAGAGATTTTCATTAATTTGCCCAAAGTCACAGGAAACTAGTAGTAGTCTTGGTTTGAACGCAGGCACTCAGAATCCCGTGGCTGCACCCTGGGGTGCTGTCCAGCACTGTCCACTGCCCGCCTCCTGCAGGGGCCACGCCCTGTTCCTTGTCTCATCTCCGTGACATTGGACATTATTGATCGCTCCCTTTCTGAAACTTTCCTTAGGTAGCTTCAGATGAGAAAATAAATCTGACCCTTCTTACTCCATCTTGGCCACAAGCAGCATAATTTTTAATATAGAAATTTAGCAATTGCAATAACACTATTGAACCACGATTGTTTCACCCTTGGAGAAGGGAGACGTTCATATCTACCTTGATAAGTAGCACCTCTACTTCTTGTACATAATAAAGAAGTTTCCTGAAGATGAGACAATTTTACATCAGTTTTTGTCTAGAGGGTGGGTTAGAGTAACACATCTTTTCATAGTCAGCTTTGGAAAGGCTGGTTTGTTCCTATGTTTTTCTGTTTTCCTGTCCGTCAAAATAGGAAGGAACCTGCTCCGTCTTTGGAATGGGAAAGGCAGACCTCTCCTTTCTAGAAAACTTAGTCTGTGGCCAGGTGCTGCCCCGTTTGGTAACTCCTGCCCTCACCCATGCTCAGGGCTGGCTGGAAGGAAGTCTCCTCTGTCCACTCCTCCTCCCACACCCCTCCCCTCCCCGCCGGCTAGGCAACCCCGGCAAACAAGTGCCAGTGCTAAATCAGAAGTACTAAGTACTAAGTGTGCTGCTGGGCAGAATTTTCTGAAATTCAGATCAGTTTAAGAAAAATAAAAGCCTGCCCGAGACAGCAGAGAACTCGGCACGTGTGCTCCCTGCCAGTCTGCAGGGAACAGACCTCCTGTCGGCTACGACGTTTTCCAAACTCACGAAGTGCTTTTCCTTAAACTGGAGGCCTATCAGAGTTGTGTCCTTTCATTCTTTTCTTTCCTGTTTACAAGTGTTAAGGTCGTGGGCCTTCTCTGAGATTGTAAATATGCAGGTCCTGAAGCTGCACAGCTTGCTTGTGATCATGTCAGATGAGCTTCCAGCTTTAAAATTAAGCCACGCTCTAACATCCATCAGAATCCTCTGGATGGTGACCAGATGACTGCAGATGAATTTTTAATGCCCTCTTTCCATTTTTAAGGGCTGCATTCTTCCTGATGCTCAGCCTTTGCACGCAAGCACATTTATACGGCTACTGGCTCTTTCCTTTGAGCCTCTGGCTGTCTCTGGGATCGTCATAGATACCCTCTGCCCCCAGTCAGATTACACTGCCAAGAGGATGGTCAAAGAGGAACTGTGATTGGAGCAGGACCGAGACGAAGGGAAGGCCTTCTAGATGTAGGTCTGCCCCCAGACCCGTGAGACCTGGCGGAGATGCTGCAGGGTGGATTGGTGGCGCTCCAGTGGTGACACCCCTGGAGAGGGGTCAGAAAACCTGAAACCCAGACGCAGCTGGGCCCCTCCTGACACCAGCTTGCCTCCAGGCAAGGGCGGGCCTTCTTCCTTTGCATGTCCGCTGGTCTCCCACACGTCATTCACAGAGCCGTGCTCAGTAAAAGTTGTTAGATATTTTGATCCCCCGCAGAACACATGACATGAAGTGCACGTGTGAAATCAGCTCTGTCTGAAGGTCATGGCAAGACACTGTCTAGGTATTTCTGTTCATACAGTTCACATTGAACACCTGCATTGAGGATGAGTCTCATTAATAGTTGAGAGGTTTATAGGGCCAGAGAGTTAAAAAAATAACTAGTACCTTTGCTCTTTCACTTCATTTAAAAACGCCGCAGCCATCGCTAATCCCCTTTGTGAAGGTCTGTATTCATTAATAGCAGTTTCCTGGTTTAACTGGATGGAAATCAGGATATTGCAGGGGACCAGAGCTTTGATTTTTGTGGAAAGAGACTTAACAGAGTCTGCCTGGCTGCAGAGAAGTCAATAGCATGCCTGCTTGCTTTGAACCTTTGAGCTCTACAGAAGCAATATGGAAACCACAAAGAACAGGGAAGGAGAAAATAAAATCTTCCAGCACCTGGAAGTGTCCTCGGGGACATGGCATGCCCCTTGTTTAAAGTGTGTATGGTGGCTGTTCCAGAGAAATATGGGTGTGAGAGGTCACAAGTGAGTGACCATCACTACCATCATCCCAGTGCTGACCGTGCTCTCTACGAGTTCCACGTGATCATGGGCATCTGGAACTTTCTGTGGCATGGTCCCATTAACCCCTTACTTCCTAAGAAAGTTTGTATTTTAGCTTCATTATTGTGCTGGCTTTTAAGAAAAAAACAGTAGGAGCAAGCAAAATCCTTTTCAAGAATGAAATAATGCCATTTGCAGCAACACGGATGGACCTAGAGATTATCATACTAAGTGAAGTAAGTCAGACAGAGGAAGACAAATGTCATGTGATATCACTTATATGTGAAATCTAAGAAAATGAGATAAATGAACTTATTTACAAAATAGAGACTCACAGACATAAAAAACAAACTTATGGTTACAGGGGGAAGGGCCAGGGAAGGATAAATTAGGAGTTCAGGATTTGCAGATACACATGAGTATATATAAAATAGATCAACAACAAGGTCCTACGTACAGTACAGGGAACTATAGTCACTATCTTGTAATGGCCTATAATGGAAAAGAATATATATATATATATACACACACACATAACTGAATCACTATGCTGTACCCCAGAAACTAGCACAACATAGAAAATCAACTATACTTCAATAAAAAAATTTTTAATTTTTGAAATCCTTTAAAATTTTTAATCAACCAGGTGAAGCTGGCTGTGTGTCACTCATCTTTTGACGTAGGCTCTCCATCCCCGGGAGATGAGCCTGGTCCTCACGGACCGTCCTGGGCGTGGCCTGACATGTGGGCGAGCAGGAGAGTACGTGACAGGACACTACCGCAGGGACTTAACCGCAGACTTACTTGACGAAATCGACAGCACAGGGAAGGATACAGGTTTTAGTGAGAACCAGCCCTCTGCTGCTGACAGCCAGGTGGTGATTCGTCCTAGGCAGAGTTACGCTTGATATATTCAGCAAGATGGCAGGAGCCTTTTCAGCCGAAAGCCACAGAGGACTCCACAACCAACCGTGTTTCTCCGCGTTTGCTTCTTGGAGTCTTAGCACTGGGGCCTGAGGGTTGATCTGTGCTGCGACTAACTGTGCAGCCAACCAGGAGTCCCACACAAGGGCTGGTTTCATCAGGTGGTTTGGTAGTTTGGTGTGTTAATACCAAAAGCTGATGTTCTCAGGGGGGCCTCTGTCCTGGCTCAGAACATCACTTTGGTGGCCCCAGGAGTAGAAATGAAGACTGAGTGTACTGGAGTTCAATAGAACACTGGACTTTTGAGTGTGTGAGTAAAAGCAATTAATAGTAACACCAGTATCAAAGTAAACACCAAAAATAGAATTTCACCAAATTACATTGTCTGTTTCCCATTGAGTATAATTGCTAACCTAAAAATAATAGTGATGATAATAGTAATAATAATAATAACAGAAGATAAATCTGCAGCCCAGAGTACACAACCATGTGAGCACTTACTAATGTCCGCAAGTGCAGAGGGGACTGTTTCTGCCCTAGGTTGCAGTTAGCTGTAATTCGCTGAGCTGGAAGTATGTTTTATTTAGTTAGTTAGTTTTAGATTTCTAAAAGAAATGCCTGCTATTGTAATGGTGCCAGGCACTGGGTACCTCAACACATTAATTAAAACGCTGGAATGTTTTATAAAATCACCAGCCACAACAGTAAAAAATCATGAAAGAAATCTACCTTGGGTGTTAGGCTATGTCTTACAATGTAATGCAGGCAGTAAAATCTCTCACATTTTGTTGGTAGTTATTTTTCTTTTGTTTTCAGTGTTGAGAGTGTTGGGATTAAGGACGCACTAAGATTGATTTGCCTGCAACGTGCAAGTGAATTTTCTGGAATATTTACTCCACTGTCATGAAGACAGTTCTAAAGAAACAGTAATTTCACAGTCTGCTATTTCATTAAGCCACACTAGTTTAAGATGTCATACGTGAGGTTGCATGCTAATCTCTGATAATTTCTTAAAAGGAGGAAGATTTGATTAAAATTAGCATGGTTACCATTAAATCAATAATCAGATGCAGTTAGATCAATTAACCATCTTTTTTCCCCCCCAAAAATGAGGCCAGTTGTGTGTTCCAAGCCCATTACTCTACTGCATCTCGATGTATCAGGCACTGAAGAGGCCACCACTTTCTGATATATTTTGCACGTTACTCCCTGATATTTTGGAGGCAAAAGTGGAGAAAGAAGAACAGCTGAAACATTAAAGTTTATTCGTGAGCGTGTGGGCAGTGTCCCTGTCATGTCCTCTGGGATGTGATCTACTTAAGCCACGGAAGGAATGTGCCTTGGGAATGGAAATCCATCTGTGGTCCACCGCAGAGGCTCTCAGCGGGGCAGGTCGGCCTGAGCCTCAGGCTAGAAGGACAGCAGATCCCAGGAAGACTCTCGCTCATCCGAGGGTCCGTGACCGCGATGCAGTGCTGGTCTCTGAGCTCTTTCCTGGGGCCCGGCCTTTCCTCCTTCTTGCTTCAGCCTAGTAATCACCTCCCCTTAAAGCCTCCTCAACCCTGGGCAGAGTTTCTGGTTCTTTCCTCTGTGTCCCCTCTCACTCCCCGACACACACCTGTAACGTTTACCCGGTAGGAGCCAGACCTAAGAGGCTCTGGGCCGTCCTGAGGGATGGGCACCTTCTTCCTGCAATGGGGCATACGGAGGGGTCCGTGCAGCTCCCAGGCTCTTTTGTGTTTGTAAAGATCACTCTGCTGCTGTGCAGCAAAGATGCTAGAAGCAGGGCTCCCATAAGAAGGTGAGGGGTTACGGTGGCTGGGACTGGACCTTGAGCCATGGAGGTGGCGTGAGTGGCCACATGACGGGGTACATTTGGGAGGACATTGATGCTGTAGGAATTTAAAGCCAGAAGTATATTCAGTATCTTGTAGTAGCTTATGGTGAAAAAGAAT